TGAGCCCCTACTCTCCTCATAACTGACGGCAACAAAAGTCCTACATTATTCAATTAAAATAAAGAAGTAAAAACAATAAGTGTGGCTTGATATTGAGTAAGAAAAAGGTTGATAAACGCTGTGAGAATGGATCTGCGGGTAGCATTCCCTCGCGATCTCAAGTCGTCTACAACATACGTTTAGGGAGCTATAGAAGCCTATGGACATCCCCGAAAGTTGAAAATGTATACGCTAAGGGCCGCCCCCCTTGTGTTGGAAAAAGCGGCCGCCCCCCTCTTGCGTTGGAAAAAGTCGACACGGCCGCCCCCCTCTTGCGTTGGAAAAAGCCGACACAGGGGACCTTGACATAACGTCAAGATAGGCCGACCTGGGAGAGAGGATGTGTTGATATATCCATGTCGAGCATGTACCCAAAATGGAAGATGTAATCTCTATGCTTTTATTTCCATTTAATCAACCTGAAGCCGACCTGATTAGTGTTAAGCTATATTAACAGCTATAACAAGCTAACATGAATGATTTATTGAGCTGAAGATTTATTACAAAATACTGGATCACACAGCCAAGAGAGCATTTGGCCAATAACTGCATTGAACTGCACTCCATTGCAGGCAAAAATACAACAGCAAGAATTATTATAATTATATGTGTTGTGAGAAAATGATGTACTTACCGCCAAGACTCTGTCTCAGTACCGCAGTAATTCTGACAAAGCTGACACATGACCGTCATTTTGGGATTAGTGAGTGTGCTGAGTCGAACTGCATGTGACTTCACGGCTAAAGAGAGCTGTGGGGGCTGAGTGAAGAATGAAGCCTATACTGTATGACACACCTGGTTCAACATGCTTTCTATAACAGTGGGCAAAGTCACTGTACCTTCATGGGCAAGGATAAAATAATTAAAATCCTGAGCTCAACTGTTGATCTCTTCGAAATATCCACTTGAGGCGGGGAATTCTGGGAGATGTAGAAAATCAACACTGCTAACTGGGCATGTCATTAAAAGGTTAACTTTATGATATGCACTATACAGCAAATACTGATGTACAGAGCCTGTTCAAAAGCGTGTGGACATAAGATCATAGCATCCAGAAGTCATTGTTAAACACGGCGATACCATCCTCTACTCAACTGGGATTTTGGAACATGGCTTAAAGGATTTCAACATTGTGATGTCAGCCAAAGATGTTGTACACTAGACGTAGCTCTTCCCCAAGTTGATGGATGTAAACAAGGCCAGGTGTCTGTGCAGGCCAGTCAAGTTCTTTTCCAAGTGGCATCTTAAAATTAAAGCCAATGCAGAGTGCCTTCTTGTAATTCTCTGTAGTAGCCAGCAGCGAGAGATACTGATTGCAAAAAAGAACTACTATTTAGAAGTCTATGAGAAAATATGTAATTTTCAATATGTATTATCTCGGTAAACATTGCAATCCCTAGTTTCAAGTCTTCGTCAATAAAGCAGGATGATCATTTTGTAAAGCCTGGTTGGATTTAGAGTAAAATAGACAATAAAGCAGCATATAGTTTACTGTGGGGTTACTTTGATTGACAGTTCGCCACAGTCTGGTCTGGGTTTTTTCCATGTCTTTATCTTAGAACCCTTTCTTGTTTTAAGTGCTAATTATCAAGTGTTTGCATGCAAACACGCTAATGTGGTGAATGTGGTAAACAAGATATGCTATCCATTTTCATTTTGAGCATGATAGCATTCTAAATTACGCATTTATCTCAAAATACTGCAACATCTAAAGTTCCAATTATTCTTAAAACTACCTTATCCCAAAGCTGTAAGAAACTGGGCTTTTCTAAGCTCATGAAATCTGGACAATTATGATGGTGTATTAGGGAGCTGTTGCTGATTCCTCACTTTACTCTTGAAGCAGCATGACAACCATTAGTGTGATCCCTCATATCCGAAAAAAAGTATTCCTTTTCACAAAAAGAAGAACTGCTGACAACTTGTCTTTTAAATGAAAGAAGACAGCGTGAAACTGCCATTTATCAGCAAAACAGACATCAATATGTTTCTGATCACACAGATGAGAACAGTCAGTGACCGTCCGGTAATAACTGCCACACCACAGGGGAATTGTACAAAGGGGGTGCATTTGATCGAATAACAAATGCCTTACAAATGTCTCTGCAAATGTTAAGCTCCTGGTTGCTTTTGGCATGAACCTCACACTGTGATTACTATCAGCGGTGTGTCTTCAGCGAATCCCACAACACAGGAGCCCACATGCTAAACGCTGGCCTGCACACTCCCCCTGGAAACTTTAAAAGCAGACTTAACTCAAGATTGACTTTCTATGACCTTGTTATCTTTATTTGGCAGTGTCAGATTGCAACTACTGGGACCATCAACCCTTCCCCACATGGCAGCGAGTGAAACAGCGATTCACACACTGGAGAAATATGGGCCTCTATCACGCAGCAGCTACTTGGAAAAAGCCCAGAAAGCCTCTCTCCTGCTAGCTGTTCCTTCCCTCGCTCGCTGAAGAAACCCCCACTCAATCTCTCTCTTTACTTTTCTGTCGCTTTATGCTGGGGAGAATTATTATTTTTCCATCTCAAGGACTGCACAAGAAAAAAGGGAAAATGTCATCCCACGCCTGGTCTGTCCCACTCATCTATCTTCAACTCGATTGCTTTGCACTTTTCTCTCTGTCAGTGTCTAGGGCTCCCTTCCACCTCCACAATTGCTTGTCCCCTGCCCCCTCCCCCCTCAATTACCCTATTTTCTCTGTCTCTTCTTTCTTCCTCATTTCTTCCCCTGGCTGTCTATCTTCCTCTGGTTCTCATGGGTTTGTGTGTGGAGACTGGACTGCTGTCGGTGCAGAATTAGTGGGTGAAGCTGAAAACGGATTAAGGGGCCAAAATCCAGGGAGTTCACTAATGGGAGGACTGGCTCGGCTGCCTGCTGCCATGGCCATCAGCTGATGCCAATTATCAGAAAGAGCCACATCTGGCCTGGTCTGCCCCGGACTGGCATACAGGAACCCCCTCTTCCTCCCCCTTAGGGGACAGATAATGGTGACCAATCTGTTGGAGGGGCTTGTAGGGACTAACAATAACAGTCAATGAATCCAACAGTTGATAAATAATGTAATGATCATTTTGAAAACTATTTAACTTGTGTGTCGAGAAACACTCTTAAACATTCAATGGTTCCAGAAGATGTGAGGATTGGATTGTAATTGGGATGGGCATTCCAAACCATAACTCGGGGGAAAAAATGATCAGCCTAATTGATACATTCAATTGTTCCTTGCAACCCTAAAAAATAAAAGTTAGCGGTGTAAATCGGCTGATCTAGAGTCCTAAACAACATCATATATTGCAACTGTTTTGAGGAGATGTTCATAATACATCTGAGGGTTTACTGTATACACAGAATGAAGTGTTACACTCAGGATATTCAATTGTTTTGACTCAATAAAGACATACAAAAACATTAATATTTGTCTTTTTGTTTGTGTTAACAGGAATAGTTTCTTTGCTAATTATACATATTTATTTTACTAATTGTAAATGCATTACTTTTCTAGAAATGTTGAGATCCAAGTACTTCCTCCACCATTGCTGACATTGTTCTTACACACATTGCACCACTACTGAAGGAGCCTGCTGCAGATGAATGTGTTGTTATATGTTGCTGTGACCGCCTGACAATAATACACAGTACAGTTCAGAGGCATGGTGGTTTGCGTGAGTAACATTTAAAAGACTGTTTCCAGCCTTGCAGGAGTTGTCTTCTTACACAAGAAACATTAGGAGCGGTGGCTGTGTGGGTCAATGTTGTCCGATTTAATACACAACACATGCAACCTGTTCTTTAATTTTGGTCAAAACTCAACTGTACAGATAAATGAAAATAGGCAAGTGTTTAGAAAACATCTTTACAATGTGGTATACATGTATCTAACTTTGAGCACATGCTTTCACTTCACCAATGGGTGTGTGGGCCTGGATAGCCTTCACTGTGAAAAAGGCAAAACAGTGACAATTTGACAAATTATTTAATCTATTGTAAATGCAGTCTGTCTATAGCCCATAAGGTTCATATTACCCTGTAAGTCAAGGCCTGAAAGAAACAATTGTAGCCTAAGCAGCAACAGTCAAGCATAGATTACATACTGTAAAGTTGTATTCTGTTTGAACAGAACTTTGATGCAGAAATGTCATCTGAAGAAAACATATTACACAAGAGCCTAAACAAATGGTAAGTTTGATGATAGAATGTGGATTTTGGGGGACTTTACACCTTGACCTAATCAGTAAAGGGTGACTAATTATAGTAACAACATGTTGGGTAAGGAAATACACAGAATGTACTACTGTATCTACATACCTTATAAATGTACTTACCCTCACCAGGTTAAAGGTACAATGCACAGAAAAGGACAGACAAAGAGGCTTTTTGCAACATAGGTCTACTAGTTTGGCAGTTATTACACTCTTCTCACTTTAGTGATCTTCTCCTGATGGCGATCCAGTCAGTAAAACACTGCAGCTCTATGTGACTCATCCCTTACCAAACGGTAAATCACATAAATCCCCTTCCTACTGACTTTGACCCCTGCCACATTTTTGCTCCACTCTCCATGGCCAAAAGGAGAACATGTGGTCTTGGTGGAGGATTTAAATGGAAGAGTGTCCTCCTGATGGTTGGCAAGTACCGGACAAACTACTGCAGAGCAATTACACTACATTTTAACTTCATGTGTGAAAATAAACACTGCTGAGAACAAGAAAACCATACACTGACGCACACAACTAAATTAAAGCTTCCAGAATCAGTAAGCGACAAAATCTGGACCACGAAGAAGGGTTTTTCTCTAAACTTTCAACTTATTAAAGAGGATCAGTGCAGGACCACATTATTGTAACTAACAGAAAAAACCCAGTTTGACTAAATCAAAGTTTTATTGTTAGAGAAAGCTTATTGAAAAAAGGTAAATATTATATCTTTCACCCAGATGAACCCAGACACATATGCATTATTTAATAATTTTTATTAGGAATAATTATTTGCAGAGAAACTTTCTGATTGAAGACAAAAACCTCAATCTGAAGGTGCAATTTTGTCAATAAACGTTGCCATTTTGACGTCCCGTTTTGACAGTCCTCCACAGTCATGTGTGGTCAATGTAATCTGGACCTGTGAGGATACATACAGATTGTTAGCAATCGCAAAGCAACAACATGCCATAAACAACAGGGCAGTAATCACATTTGTTTATTAGAATGAAAATGTTCAGAGTGCATGATCTCTAATTATCCAATTAAGATGGCAAAGGAGAATATCTTTCAAAATAAATATGAACGAACTCACTTATAATTTGGTTTTAGAATGTGATCAGGGGAAGTGGATTATGTTGAAAGTGCTTTAGTTTGGTCTTTGTGACACAACTGTGATGACAGTGAAATTGTTTTCAGTGTTTATACTAAGGTAGCCAAATCCTGACTCCAGCTCAGTACTCGGAACAAAAATATTGTCTAACTATTGCTTGAGTTATTTGTTAGGAAATGCGAGAAATACAGTGTACTTCTATCTCCATGTCCAGCATTTGGCTCCACCCATTGAGTTTGACTCAACCAATGAGGTTATTCCATGGAGAGAAGCTTCGGCCCAGAAAGAAATTCACTTCTTAATATTGAGAGCCAATAAAACAGCACAGAGCATGAATGAATATTAAAAGAATATTAGCAGTAGCTTTGTATACAACATCTACTTTGTCGAAGATCTGTCGAAGTTGGATTTATGTGAGAGTGTCTGGTGGAAAGTGCTGCGGGGGCCCAGAGACCTGTAGCACCGTTCTACAGCCACTTTAATAAAGAGTGGATTAGGAGCAGCATTCCTGTCAGAGCGGCCCGGCCCACCACACACTAACTCAGTGGCTTCAGCCTAATGCTGAGAGATTTTCAGGGACTGGGTTTGTCATATCAACCGCTACTTTATTTCTGAGGCACAGAAAGTGAGAGTGTGTGTGAGTGTTGGGGTAGTGGACGGGAGGTAGAGATATTTGCAGAGCTTTTCACAAGAAAAGCGATGGGATTAGAGTGTGAAGCTACTGCGTTCCCCCCTCATCCTGACTTGCAGAGTGCGTTTCAGGCTTTGAGTGGAGATCTCTCCAGAACTAGTGAGAATTGTTTGACATGCAAAAATCTGACTTTATCCACAGTCGATTAATCTCGGCGTGTCTGTAATTTGTCATAAGCCAACCGTAGCATTGCAAATATGGCAGTGTCTCAAACACATCACCGCGAGAACGCTGTTTGATTCTCCGAGCCTTGATTTCTGTAATGGATACTAAACAAATGCAGCACTGCAAGTGACTCCTCAATCACAATTACATAAGGTGGAGAAATGTATTACCTTATTATAAACATTGAACCATTCTGGGTGGTGGTTCATCTTCTCTGCCTGCAGAGCCACTCGAGACATGAAGCCGAATGCCTGTTAAAAGAAACAGTCAATCAAAAAATATTCAGGAATTTCTACCGTTTAAAACTGCATAGCTGTGACCACAAAAAATATCTCTCACGTGACAAAGAATGATAACGCTACAACACAAAAATGCCACTATACCAGGCCAGAATCAATGACTCAGTAATCATTCAATGTAAGGCTACTACTAATAAAATATATTTTTTCAGAATAAACATTAAATGATTTCTTGATTCATTGGATTGGATTAGGGATTTGGTGTACAAAATGTGTGAAATATGGCCATTAAAACATCCCAGAAACCAAAGGTGGCCTCTTGAAATGTCTCGTTTTGTCTAACAAACGATCCAAAACTGGAATAAATGTATTTCTTATTTTCAACATGATGAAAATTATTATTAAAATATTCCCAAAAGTTGATCGTGTTTTTCGCTGAATAACTAATTGATAAATCAACTTGTATCTGCAGCTGTAAAAATGAAGTATGTTCATACTTCCACACCCCCACACACACAGCATGCACATACTTCGAAACATACACACTCTTCATATTTCAGATTTGGCATGTGACTCTCTCCAATCACAGGCCATCCAGGGAGTGATTATGGTTATTCTAATTATCTACAAAGAGAAGAGTGAAATCCCTCGTCATGCCCACTGTGAAGAGAGGAGAAAAAAAATCAAATCAGGTAGACCTATTTCAGAGCAATTTCCCACTGCAATCTCAATTAAGCCCCTAAATACTTCCTCCCTGTCTAATTAAATCAACTGAAAAGCCATTGTTTACAGACCATGGCTGCGGCCCCTTCCACCACCTGACATGACGAAACAGAATTACACTCACAAAAATTGCGTTTAGCCTTTTTAGTGCGTTGTAACCAATTTCTGAGACGTCCTGTTCGGTGCCCGTGCAGCGCGGCGCGTGTAACACGATCGGCAGCTTGATCAAATTGGTTATCAAGAAACCGTCTCCTGATCAATTTAAGTAATTGGCATATTCCTGCAACTTGACCCCACTGGCACCAATTTGGAGACTGAGGCGGTCTGCTTTCTCTCAGTTCTCATTGGCTCTAATGGAGATGGCTAAGCAGCCTGTCATGTCAGGTGTTGTCCAAACATGCCGTCTCTCGCTCAGGGCCGAGCTCAGGCTAATCTGCTGCTGAGGAACACTGAGTGACAGGTAAAAGGATCCTGTGTGAACACTTAAAGGTTCCTGCACATTGTCCCATTTCAAAACACCATGTTCTTTCAGAAAACAATTTCCAGATTTGACTCTGTTAGGGAACAAAAACTCATCCTCTTGGCATATCAACATACAGTACTCACAATTGGCCAAACTTGGGTTAGGAATATATGCGAACACAGTTTTTTACATTATTAATGATTTCCATTCTTCTTCAGGACCTTTCAGTCGCAGATGCAAATGATGCTTGTTTACATTGACAAAGTACAGTTTTATTATTGCATTAACCTCCCCATACCGTTTTATCTCTGATGCAAAAAGCAAGTTTGACGGTCTCCATTGTGTAGTTAGTGTAAATAACAAACTAACAAATGTGGAATGACGGAAATAAATTATATCACTGTGGATTTTTTAATGTTAGAGTCAGATCTATATTGTTGTCCAATTTTGACTACATACTTGTAATCGCCACACAAAAATGTCCAGGACAAGTTTTAGGTATTGGCCGTTATCAGGAAATAAATGAAATGCCTTTTACATTTTTTGGCAGAATTTGAGGATTTTGGCCCGCTGTATGCTGTTCATGGCCACCTACAAGAGTCTACTAAATTCAGGCGCCTGACCTTGATCAGCATGTGTGAATAATGGGTGTACTTCCCTCTTTAATACAGGGAGGATCCCTTTTAACACTACATGTCTGCCAACTGGGTCACAGCACTTTAAAGATACATGATCACAATAACACAGTTGCAGACTCACTGAAATAATGACGGGTGTGCAACTACAAACATGTGCAGTCACATCTGTATGATACGATTTCATAGACTTCCAAACTTGGCAGGGGAAGGAAATTCTAGTCCGGACAAATAATTGCAAACTTCCAATCAGTTTTTATTCAAAAGTATATTTATCTTCCAAAGCCAGCTCATGGCATGATGAAGTTTGCCAATGATTAAGAGTGAATACTGTGATAGAAGTGTGTTTTGTATTTGCATTTTGAAGTGACAGTGGACCAACCCCGACCAGAGCTTACACTCATTATCCAAACTTCAAAGTTCGTCACAAAACCCACTGCTATTTTCAAGAAAAAAGTCACACTCAACAATGGACAATTACATGTCCACGTTTGAACCTCATTGATGTGCAAACAACCCACAGAGCGCAATACGTTTTGATGGGAAGAGGAATGTGAAACTGAAGAAGTTTAGCCTGTATGCAACCTGAACTCTCATGTCCCAGGAAGACAAAAAATGAGGAGAGAAAAAGAGCAAGGAAAGCAGTAATCTCCCAATACAAATGAATTGGAGTTGAATGTCCAAATAACCTGAAAAGGGGTGAAAAATGGGATTCTCTCACAGGCGGTGGTCCCTCGGGGGCAGTAAGGAGAGTAGCAGCAAGACACAATACTGGTGAAGTGGCGGTGCTACGTCTGTCACCTGTAGGTCATCTCAACACCCTCCACTTGGGCTAAATAAGGAAATAAAACCGACCCTCAACTCCCAGCTGAGGTCTTATGTCAACAGAGGTCAAGGACTCTCCCTCTCAAAGTGCTTTGTTTACACCATTTGTATTGTCCGGGCCACACTTCTAGAGCCAACAGGTCAGCCAGCCAGTCGGCCAACCATCCATTCATTCAGCCAGCCAGCCACTCTCTCCAAACTGGCCCAACAAGCTGTAGCTGTCAGACTCAGATAATTTGACATGACATTTCGCAGGCCCCCCCCATCTCAAATAATCAGAAACACCCGACGGCAGGCCCCCGCTTTGCCCCTTCCTCTGCGTACCAGCTTTTGAGGAGCCGATTTGGTGCTATTACTGCATGATTGTCATACAACACTGGATGAGACAATTTGACGTCGGAGCAGAGTGGTGTTCTCTCTCTCATTGCGGCCGTGGGCTGGAATACAGGACTCAGTTTCAAACACATGTGTCTGTTATTTACAGATCGGTTTTCCACCGCCGCGCTGTCCAGGGGCTTAGAAACGCCTGCTCTGTCTTGCCAGGACTAAGTGCATGCAGATTGTGCCTACTCTTACTTGCCTCTGATGGACACACAAATGCACACTGATGCATGCACGAATGCACATACGCAAACCTTCTCAGCATACACACAAGGATATGTCGACACACACATATGAAGACAAGCCGCTCTCCACCATTACACACCACCGTGAATACCCAATGATTACCCTGCGAGCCCCATCATCATCCGCGTCAGCACCCTGGAAAACCTTCGCTCCTCCGCAGTGAAAGGCAAGAACGCTGTGAATTGCACGGTGGTGGTGGTGGTGGTGATGATGATGACGACCACACCTCTTATGTCTCGTTTCTCTCCTTTCCCAAACAGCTCCTCACAAGCTTCCAGCTGGCAGTGCCTGCTAAATTTACATGTAACTTAAAGCAAACTATTGAATCATTATGAAGCAAAGCTGCCAAGCGCTGGAATTCTTCCACGCAGTAGAGAGATCTCTGCTGGGTTCTAAATGTTATATCACACATTTATGTTCATAAAGTTGTGAAACACAGACAAGAGCTTCAATTCGATACAAAGATGATGGAGGCTGTGACTAAAATCCTATGTAACAAATGTCCGTGCAAGTCAGCGCCTATATATGTAACGAGTGTCATGTAATGCTCATGGTGTTAAGGCCAACTTATGCAAGCCCCTCATTAACTGCAGGGTTACCAGCGAGGGCTTAAAAGACATTGGGCTCGTCAAAAGACAGCAGACATCAGGGTCATCTTAGCTTACCCAAGCACTGATAGCCAGATTATCTAACCACCTCCGCTGGGGCGCCACACCTCACTTCTTCCCTGCAGCCATTTTCACAAGACGGGATGAATGCGTGATGCCTCCAGTTCCCAGGGAACGCTCCATTTTGGAGACCGAGGTGGGAACTAAACACCACTGAGCTGATTAACCGGCCTCTCGCTGTGAGTAAGGGATATGGCGTGAGCGCTTGTGTAAGGTGATTATGTATACATGTGTGTTTAAATACTAGGGTTTAGATATGGAGTTTTAAAGGCTGGATGTGTGTGTGTGTGTGTGTGTGTGTGTGTGTGTGTGTGTGTGTGTGTGTGTGTGTGTGTGTGTGTGTGTGTGTGTGTGTGTGTGTGTGTGTGTGTGTGTGTGTGTGTGTGTAAAGCACGAGGGGGGTGGCTCTGAAAGTTTGGTTAACACAGGGGCTCAGTTTTAGTTGTAGGACAACTTATTCAACACAAGCAGAGCAAGGCCCGTAACGAGAGGCAGAGGCTTGAAGGAGCTTTGGTGGAGAGGAAGCCCCCGACAGAATATAAAAAGGGGGATCAGCCTCAGAGAGCGGAGGGAGCTGTCTGAACAACAGCAGCGCTCTCCTCAGTGGATGCTGCAGCCTTTTCTGGTGTAATGCGATTATTGTCTGTGGTCAACCACAACTTTGGCGTGTCATTTGTCTCAAGTTTGTGTCATCTTTATTTTGTTGCATTATATCACACACATTTATTTATACAAAGAAAAATACTTAAATGGTAATTTATGCATCTTTCAAGTAAAACTTTTGACGAGGAATGCTTTTTTAATATGGCCTTAAAACAGTTGCTAAATCTACAGTCTGGGACATTTATGTGCTCATTATGATTTTGAATGAACACACTATCCTGGCTTTTAGATATCTGTAAGACTGATTGATGATCCTTTCCAACTGCTTTCTTAAGAAATGTTCTTTCCTCTCACACAGACATGTAGAAAGGACACTGAAAGGTGTATGTAAACATGAATGCGACAAAATAGCCCCTATTAAGAACGTACCATTGAGTGAATGCTGCAGATATTCACTATGAATGTGATAATATAATGCAACATATTGATTAACAGAGCAAAGCATCCTATTAAACGATAATGTTGTGAATCCTTACATCCTTTTGACTCTAAATATCTTTCAGAGTGCTATTTGGACTTTGACATGCACGTGAGTATATTGAAAATAGTTTGTCATAAAGCCAACAGTTACATTTTTTTACTGTGAAATTATCACATTTTGGTAGCCATTTTGGATCTATAGTCGCTGTTCCATTACACAAGTTCTCTTGAAGAATGATTAGACTCTGAATTACTGGAAAGCTATTCATTCATCTGCCTCTTTAACCAATAAATAAACAGTTTTGTGCACTGACAGATATTTACCTTGTTAAACATTTCTATTCTTAGTTTAAAGGTCGGTCTTGTTCACTTTGTAGGAGATAATCAAGATAATAACAAGCCGTTTTTCATTCCCAGTCACAACTTTTGAGGCATTTTTCCCATCACTGTAAGACTGAACGTTTGTGGAGAAAGTTGAAATGCCATCAGTGTCAACTTCAGCTAACATAACACAACAGTTGAGAATGCACAGCTCACCTCTCCTATCCAAACTGCATCTTTCGGCTACCAATTTCACTTGTGTCGCGTAAATGTTTCCACATTGTCCACCAAAACATAAAGCAGATGGTCATCAGTAAACATACATAACATAAGGCTTAAAACGTAAACAATATCAGGGACTGCAACTTAAAAACAAGCCCAAATCCAACGAAAATGTACAGTATTAAACAGATGTTTCCACATATGATTGCAGGGATTTTCACTGACCAAAGTGACTCCAGACAGAGGATTTCACCTCTCAAACCTGATTAAACATCAACGGACTTGATGAGGAAAATAACTCAGCAACTTTTCAGACCACTGCCACCATCAACGCAGTTTACCCACATGCCACAGATAAATTAGCTGCTAAAGCATCTAACACTTTCCACTTGCTGTAATCATGGAAAATAAACATAGAAATCCAGCTATCATGTTCTTTTTGAATTCATTTGCAGCTATGAATGTCCCTGTGTGTCATGTAGGCTATTTAGCTCCACTTCAACAAAGTGCCACTGTGGATTTGCAGAGCCATAGACACACCTCTACCGCCCCCTAAAGACCACAAGAGGAAGTGTTTCCTGGGGGATTTGTTATTCTCATTATAAACTCTCGGGATCTGATTTCTTCAAACCCATCACTCGCAGATAAGTGGCGAATGGAAATCAGCCAGCATGTCGCTCCTCATCTCAATTCTCCCCTGGTAAAAGCCCTTTAAGAACAGCCATAAAAAACAAAGCTACAGTGTGTAAAAATACATGGAGGGAGAATAAAAGACAGCGAAAAAGAAGAACAGAGAGACAGGCGGAGAGAGAGTTGCCAACATGTAAAATTGGAACAACATGAGCCCAATAACATGGGGCACAGAATGGGAATAAGAGACAGAGAAAAGCAGAGATTGGGAAAGGAGTGTGGCAAAGAGCAAGAAAAAAAAACAGAAATGCACATCGACCAGAAGGAATGATGGGGTTGTTAGTGGTTTGTGAACCAGATGAAACATTTTAACCAATTTGATTGTTTGTGAAAGAAATCATTCTGATCGAAACCCCAATTGCTGCCAACTGGACGCCTGGCGTGTCTCAGGGTAATGCAGTCTGACGTGTAGGGGTAAGAGGAGAGGCTTTAGAGCCAGGAGGAGTCGATGGGGGAGGTCAGCGCTTGGCCCCAAACTTCAAACACGGGGAAGTGTAAAAACAGACTATGTTAGGGGCTAAAACAACTAACGACAGGATTAGAGGAAGTCCGCTAAGTGGTCTTGTTGAGATGTTGCAGTTTAGGTCGTCCAATACAGGACTGAGGAAAGTGGTAGGCTGCCTACCAATACTGTACTGTCAAATGTATATATTAAAAGAAAAGGTTCAAAAGTGTTATGAAAATGGACTTGGGGACAAGAAAAGTTCACAAAGGCAACTGTGTACTATGGTGACGATAACACCAGAGCAAGCATTTGTTAAAAAAAAGTGCTGTGGAATATTTTTGAAATCTCCCAAAAAAAGTTAAGTATGTGAACCTTGAGTTTTTACTATTTAAAAATAATACTGTAATTTCTCAACAAGTTTGTTTTCAAAATAATGTTTTCAAAAGTTTCAATGTTATTTTCTCACAACCCATCAGGGCAACATAAAAAATAAACCTACTAAAACACACACATTTTAAATGTATGTCCTACATAAATGCACAACTTTAGGAATTTTCATTAAGTTTTGGTATTTTTGTCATGTGATCTCATGATGGATGGGCCATTTCGAGGGTTTGACACAAAAAAAACATTAATTGATTATAGAAAAATATGCTCATATTACTCATAGTATAATTTCCGTATGGCAATACTGTAATATATCTAACTGTATAGATATCTTACAGTATTGGTATAGCATTGCAACAAAACTGTACATTCCATTTCAAATGGAGAGCAAAGACCAGGATTGGGCCAAACCTGTCCATTTGGTTTTTCAAGTACTATAAATAAGCACAATTTAAATACAAACAACTTTTTTGCTTATAGCAACGTAAAGTTACAAGACTTTAAATACTGAAGCGTCCAGCACGCCCTGTCGGAATTAGCACCCCATGCTCAACCAATTATTAATGAGTAGGAAAGAATGGCCTTTTCTTTCTTATAAACAACCTTTTAAATGTCAGGTTGGAACCAAAAGAATCCGACGAAAGCAGAGAGGAACCTGTCTGCCGCTACACCTGCAACCAATCAGCATATAAACACAGATGAATTTGTGTTTCCGATGGTTAGCGAGATGGTCGTGCGTCTGGCGGTCTGCATTCTGATCCCCATCAAATAAACTTAGAGCCACTTTACAACAGCCCCCTAAAGACCAGAGCAGCAGAACGCAGAGGGCAATTGATTTCCCCCCAAAAAGATGACAGTTTGATAGCAGACTCTACCGGCCGTCTGGAAAAAACACTGAAGCAGATGTCAGCTGCCAGTGTGTTTTCTCTGTCATTATGAATTTAATTAAATCCCATATACACACTATAACCAGATGCACAGTGATGCAAATTATGTCCTATGTTATGATCCCTGTGATTATGTATGACTGGTAATCTTGTCAATAATGCCAAAATTGTATAATAAACAAAAACAATTGTCATTATCTGCTTGTTAAAGTGTTTTGAAAAATCCTTTAAAATTGCTGCTCACCCATTTAAATTTGTGTCTGTGAAAGCATCATAGTGTATAACTAACATAGTTCTAGTACATTAAATTCACTGTTATGATAAGTGACTCTTAGTAATCACTGTTGGCTTGAAGTAAAGATTTATTTTACCATGTGTTGTTCTTGCATAGATTCAATTATTATTATTTTTCAATTTACCTAAAGCAACCAACAAACACTAATTACCTTATGATGCATTATGACAGTGATTATAATGCATTACAAAAATATGACAACAATTCTTCAAAAACAAAAGTTATAATAAACTATGATGCTTGCAAAAAGATAATGTCACCGAGTGACAATTGTGAAGTATCATGATACATGACCTTGTAAGTGATTATATCAGTGACTTTTGTAAAGTGTCTTTGTGTGTTTGTAAAGCGATATATAAATTACATATATTATTATTACTATTATAAGTGAATACATAATGCTTGATGACCTGCTGCTACACACTATGTTCTTCAGCATTAGCAAAAAGTAATTTATATTGTACATTTCCCATTTGTGGGACAAATAAAGGAATTCGGATTCTGATAACCTTAAACCCAAATCTGAAACCCAAATCTGAATCGTAAAATAAACCAAATGAAGTGACAAAAAAAAGTCAACCTGCATTGACTCACACATTTCAGAGGTACATCAACATAAATACACACACACACACACACACACACACACCTGATTAAAGGTTTTGAAGTGAAGTTCTTTGAAGATGGCATCACGGCCCTTCACCTCCACCCATCCTGCGGTCCTGAGCTCCTTCACCTGCTGATCCCGGTCTGCAGGGGACAGCCAGTGGGAAGACTGGACACAAACATACACAAAAGTATTAATGTTAACAACTTAATTTTGTAAACCTTGTGAACAACTTATTCTGTGTTAATTCTCTTTTCTCAATATGCTGTGGTGTGCTCATGATTTAATGTTGTTTTTGTATCGGTTTCAAACAACATCTTATCTCGAAAACTAATATTTTAAGCGACAAATTACATAATCTTGGTGCTTTTTTTTTTTTATCTGACAAAACGTCATTTTTATCAAATATATTTGAGTTATAAAATTAACTTAAAGTTTGAGATGTGATTCATAATACTCAAATGTCATCTTCATTCTGTTAGGCCTACCTGAGTGTTAATAGTGCTGTGTCCGCAAGGTGGCAGTATAGCATCAATAGTGTGTACTTTTACACAGAAGTGCACAGAAATTGTACAAAGTAAGTTAAACAGTTAAATAAATAGTATGTAACAAATACTAATTAACTGTATGAGCGTGACCATCATCAATATGAGTTTGAAATCCCATCTGTACATTAGAAAAGCATACTGAACGCCATTATCATTTCAGAATTCACAATGAAAGTTGTATAACATAGGCTTTTCTTACTTGTTGCAAACACTATACAATTCGGCACGTTTATAATCGCAAATGAACACATAATAGGAGTCCCAAATGATGAAATAAACAGTAGGATATATAGCACGAATTAATTCTCACTCAGTTAAAATGTCATGATAATATTGCATGCAACTTGTATCGATCAACATACCACAGCCGAATTGAAGAACAGCTCCGAAACTATGAAAACATTCCAGAAATGATGCAAAAAAACCTGTGCCATCTTACAGGTATGCATGAAAACATTCAATTTAGAGTGTTTTGAATGGAGTTTGACGTAATAATTACTTCTCCATAAATAACTATGCGTCTTGCAAGGAGCTATGGACACTTACTAGCCTACTTCAGAGCCTATGCAGGTGTGCATTTCTTAACTCTCATGAAATTAGACACTGCATAACTGCAGCTTCACATTGTCAACACAGGTCGGATGCTAATGCTAACATCCTGTCTCTACAGGCAGCCCTCACCTCTTTAGACGAGTGGTTCTTGCAGAGCCCGGACAGCATTAGACTGCTCCGTATTAACACACGGTTACAGGGCCTCAGGCCACACATTAATACAGACATAACTGGCCCTGTGTCAGCTGTTATCCTCTTTCCAAAACCACCTGCTCTCCTGTTTCCTCTCCTGTACTCACACACTCTACCATAGCTGTTCGGGTAACTGCCTGATTAAAATCCCACATGTTCTAAAGGATTCTGCGTATGGCTTCCAGGTACAGGTCTTGCAAACCAGATATTCTAGTCAAAGCTTTGGCAATAATACTGTATGTGATTATGGTCATGCTAATAAAGCTATTTGAATTGAGTTAATAATGACAACATGCAGTGGTGGAAGAAGAACTCAGATATTTTACTTGAGTAAAACTAGGACTACTACAGTGTAAAAATACTCAGGTCAGCTAGGTAAAAGCTATATACAGTCTATGGGTAAAAGTCATGCATTTAAAGGTAGGCAGGCCCGGTTCCAGAACAAAATGACTCAGGGTGCATCTGAGATTAGAGAGGGTGCAGGGGTAAAGTGCGATTTTTATAAGTGGGGAGTGGACCTAACACCCTCTAGGGGGGTCCTAACCTCTAGGGGGGTCCGGGGGCATGCCCCCCTTTTAACTTCAATATTTGTTTTAATATTCAAGTTAAAAGCATCAATCTGGTGCACTTTGAGAGCAAAGTGAAGAGATCTATGGATACATCTCAACACCCATATGAAACAGAACTGTAAACAGATTTACTTTTTCTTTATGGATATTTTACAAATCACTCCCCTTTTAAACTGTATTCTTGTTTTACTGTCATATAGTATTTCATTTTTAGTGAGTGAGTTACTCAGATGAGTACCAGGAGACAGCGGTTGGTACTCTGGTACAGTTGTGGTGAAGGCATCTGACGTACTTGAACCGAAATGTCTACATGCATAGCAGAAGATGGCATCTTTTGTACATGAATATTCCAGCCAATCACTGTTTTTAAACCATGAGCTGCAAAATGAGCGCATTACCCCACTGTACAGGTGAGTTGGGTACTCGACAGTGGCCGCGGGTAACGTAATGTCCCCATGATCTGTACTGTTATTACCTGCAGTAGATGCAGTATTACTGTTGGCGATAAGAGCTGGTTGTTTTAACCATTTTCTGATGTCCATCATTGACTATATTCTTATTATTGCTACAATTATTATTATTGTTATTATATCACTGATTCTTGAAACTTTGCCAAAAACATGTCCCACTAAGAAAAGTGCTAATTCTGTTGGAAATGAATAACATTTTCATGAATAAAAAGAATCAAGGTTATAATCAGAGGGTCTTCTGCACAAATGTATGGTTCTTTCATAGTTTTAGTTTTATTTTTTATTAATTTAATGATTATATGCTGGCCCATTGCCTACAAAATCAGTTGTCCTCGGATAGGAGATAATCATTTCAACTTGATTAAAAAAACAAAAAGTAATAATTTAATAGAATAATATTCTTACCAAAGGAAAGAGTACATTGTAATATGTATTAAAAACTACAAACAGTGAATTTTGAACAATATTTACCATTATTTTGTGGTTGCTCAAAATGCGTCCCACATATTCGTCACCACCGTCAGATATTTATAAAAAGCAATAAAATTAGGCAACTACAAGGTCAGCTACATTCCTTAGGACCCCCTTTTCAAACCTTCAGCTTTACTGCATGCTTCAAGATCACTCAAGCTCCTGTACATTTGCTATTTTCTCTAAAACTTGTACATTTTTTATCTGACTGCTTCTGTCACAACCATAACATGTCAACACCGTCTCTTTTGTATAGAACATATTAGATTAGATTATGACATAAATGTATACTTTTTAAGACGAGGTCTGAGGTAGCTAGCAACAGAGGGGAAACAAGATGGCTAATGTGAACAACTCATGCATATCATGTAAAAGATTAGGTTTTTGTCACCACCGTCAGACATCACCACCGTCAGATTGTCTGTCTGACGGTGGTGACATACTGTCTGACGGTGGTGACAAAAACCTCAAAATGTTACTCAAGGGAGGCTAAAGTATATTTATTTACCACAATAACAATACACTGCATGCTACTACCACCATTGATGAACCATATATATATATGCCATCGGCCTATCGCTCAATCCTAGGGGATGAGGTGTGCCTTCTCTCTTTCTAAATTCACTATTATGCCATGTTCATTTGGCTTACGTCATGGGGGATGCACATAGTGCACCTACTACCTACCTACATAGCACATAGTACACCTACAATATCCCTTGTAGGCTATGCATCTCCAATGACTAAAGCCAAATGAAAATGGCATGACAACATTTAACCAAATATATGTTAAAACAATATATTTCCACACTTGAATTTGAGCAACAGCCAATGACTAGGAGTGGTCCTGACGGGACTATGACAGATCTATCTGCTGATGTAGTTCATTGCGGAGATTGGCTGGCGGTCATTTATGACCAGAACTGGTGGTTAGCAAAGGCTGTCACTGTGGATGCACCTCATCAAGATGTGAAAGTGGAGTTTTTCCACTCTCATGGGCCCAACACACGATTCTATCCAAAAGAGGTGGAAGGTGGAAAGGATATGTGCTTCATACCATTTGACCATATTCTGGTCAAACTTGTGGAACCGTCATCACCAGGTCGTGCAAGCAGGACGAGGGAGATATACAACCTGTCTGCTGAAGTAGTGTTAATTTTGTTGACTAAAACTATGACGAAATATCTTCGTCAACGACCTTTTTTTCCATGACGAAAACGAGACGATGACGAGACGGCACCGACGGCAGTAAATAATAACTGCAACAAAATCATCATGCAATATCGTTGACGAAAAGTGACGAGACGAAAATGTAGTTTACTAAATAAAAACTATGCCAAAATCTCTCTTTACTTTCGTTGACGAAAAATGAGGAGACGAAATATTATCAAAGATAACGTTACATCTCTGATAGGCAGTTTTTCTCCCAGCAGTTCCATTTCCGGTGCTGCGGCTGGGCAGCAGCTGTGTGTCCGTGCTGCGGCTGGGCAGCAGCTGTGTGTCTGTGCTGAGCGCGGCGGTAGATTTGAATTACACCGGGCAGCGGCACACTGTGAACTGTCAGGAAGACTCGGGTCTAACTCATGGTCTAACTAACCTTAGTTATTCAACAGAAAATGAAATGGCAACAACAGGGCTTGGGAGCAGTGGTCGCACTCGCGTTAACCGAATACCCCCCCGTCAGCGCGAGTGATTGATAAATTGTGCACTCAACGGATAATAATGGATTATGACGGAAATGTTACGATCCTGTCCGTCAAAATGACTGACAACGAACAAGTCTAAAGCCACCACTGCTTGGGAGAAAGAAACAATGTGATATTTGGGCCCATTTTCGCTACAATGAGTCGGAGAAAAAAAGCGAATGCATTGTTTCATCAGAAGGGAAGCAATGTGGCCATAACACAGCTGGTAAAAACACCACAAACCAGATACACTTCAACCTGTGTTTTTCATCAAATAAGGACAAGATATAATCGTATTTATTTATATATACTAAAATGACAAATTATTGGTTTTGGCTAGACTAGTTTGACTGAAATGTTCTATATATTCTGATGACTAAAAAAGACTCAACCGTTTTCATTGACAAAAAGTAGACTAAAATAATTAGTTTTCTTTGACTAAAATAAGACTAAAATGCTCAGACTTTTAGTCGACTAAATCTTGACTAAAATAGTTACTGTTTTAGTCGACTAAAATAAGACTAAAATGCTCAGACTTTTAGTCGACTAAAGCTTGACTAAATTAAAACAGGATGAAGGTGACTAAATATGACTAAAACTAAAAAGAAAATTTAACAGAGGACTAAGACTAAAACAAAATTAAAAAATAGCTGACGAAATTAATACTATGCTGCAGTCATGGACATCATAGAGGAGAAACATATACACCATATAGGCCTACGTCCTGATAAAGCTGAATGAGTGGTGGAGTGATGTAGAAACAGTCAGGGAATACTCACAGGAGTTCACTTATGAATTATTATTATTTTTGTGCCAGATGTGTTTTGTGATGTTTACACAGAATGCTTTCTGTATTTAGAAACATTTCAGTTTATGGAAAAGAGACTTTAAGATGTAGTTATTCATTTATCTGTTCTTCACGTCCAATATACAGAAGAATATAATGTATATTATGTTTTGAGTGGGGGGCACTCAGTTCACAGTGAGTGATGAATTATTATCTTATTGCTACTGGTATCTTTTACTATGATGATTATTAATGGGGATGGGGTACTTTTATTAATGATAGCTTATTGCTTCATTGAACCTATATGTTTCTTATTGAATGTTTGCCACAGTGTTCACAATTGTTATTTGTTATCTGTTCTTCACGTCCAATATACAGTTTAAAGAACAATATAATGTATTATTTTATGAGTAGGGGGCACTAGATGACAGTTTAAGATGGTGTCAGTAATGAATTGTACATTATTGCAACTGGTAATCACTTTATTTTTTAACTATGATGATTTGATATTTGATGATATGGGGGTGGGGTACTTTTATTAATGATATTGCTTAATTGTACCTTAAGTTCCTTAATTAAATGTTTATCACAGTTCTCACAATTGTTATTTGTTGTACCAAATTGTTAAATAAAGTTGTTAAGCAAGGCATTGACTTGAGTGGTATACATTTTGGAATTGTATGTTGTAATGAGGCCAGTGTCACCACCGTCAGATTAGTGTCACCACCGTCAGTTCCAAAGTCACCACCGTCAGAGGGAGTTTTATTTGTTTTAAATGAATATGCTTGTAATCTGTTTCTTCAGTGCTGTTGAGTTATTAAAGTAATAGTCTCTTTTAATACAAAAATGTGTTTTTTAAGTAAAAAAACATTACTTTGTCTGTTTAAGCTAAAAGTAAACATTGTATGATGTAAGATATTTTAAAGGAGCACACGTGAAACAGTATAAAAAATGAGCAAAAGTGAATATTCAACATTTTACAGCATATATGTGTACTTAGAATGCCAGATAATGATTGAAAAGCTCTAAATACATATTAGACTAAATACAAATAAAAAATAAATCACTTTTTATTGTGTCTGACGGTGTTTACAAAAACAAAGTAATGACTGGAAAAACCTATTTTATGAAAAAAATACAAA